CACACACACACACAATAAATAAATGTAATAAATAAAAATAAATAAATATTTAAAAAAAGATTAAAGCAACAAACAAAAGGAAACCTAATGTATTATTAGAGTGACCAAAGCCTGATCCTCTATGTCCATAACCTTAACATGAAGGCCCCAACTTCAACTCAGAAGGGTACTAGAGAATTATAACTCAAAGAGTAGCCCTGGTACATTCAAATATAGAAACACATTTCTACATGTTTACCCTCCTTATCCTGGACAGCCTGATACAACATAGGACACACCAAACACTGCACGACTGAAAACGCATTAGTCTGCCTTAGTGAGACCAGCCATGATCTCAGCTCTCCACGTAGCTGTCACTGTCAATACCGTCACCACACAAGTTTCTGATACTGATCTGATACTTGCTCTGTGCCTGAACTACTCCGAGAACTTCTCCATGAATCCTCACATCAACCCTACGAGCTACCTAATTTATTTCTATTTATCATGTATCTATGTGTTTCTCTTACTGAGCTTTTTCTCTACTACATGGAGATGAAATACAAATACTTAGAAGCACCACACGCATTGCACAGTGGCACCAGGTTGTAATCACAGCCTTAGAAGGCTGAGGCAGGAGGACTGTTGTGAGTCCAAGGCCAGCCTGGGCTACACAGTGAGTTCAAGGCTTGCCTGGACTATACAGAAAGACCCTGTCTCAAAGCAAAACTAAAAGCACAGAAAGCGGGTCAGAGTTGGGTGGCTGCAGTCTTCACTCTCTAATCCAAATTCTCTTTAACATGTGCATTATCACATTTTTAATGAAATACAGATATGCAACTTAAAAATAATCATTAGATGAAGGGAGGAAAAAAACAAAGGCAGAAGCCAAATGGTAGAAACAGCCCCATATGAAGATACAAAATAAGGACAGTAGCCATGAAAATGCATCTGAGAATCACAGAGACCTCAAAGGGTTGCAAAGTGGGATCCCACTCTGACTCTATGATTCAAACAGCACCCAGACCCTAAAATGCACGATTCTGCTGCCAAAACTGTAGGTATAAATCCCCAGCATTCTTAAATGTTGTCATATTCAATGAAAAGGGATCTAAAAGGAGAAGTGGGTGGTAGTTTCACCCTGCTATTAGTAACAGAGAAGAAAAGAGAGCTGTGTTGATTTTTTAGCTCAACAGTGCAAAAATGCCAGAAATATAGGCTGAAAGAACAAAACACTGTAATTAGCAAATATCTGCAAGAAGCAAAATGAAATTTGCTATGGAAAAACAAAACTTGCTATGGGGGCAGGGTCCACGTTTGTCCCCTGCCTTAGAGATAGAGTGACAACTATCAGCTGAAAATGTAGAATATTGCTTACGTGGCAAATGTAATAGAGAAGTATGAAACGGCCTTCAAAATCTAAGCCAACGTAGGGCCGGGGAGATGGCCCAGTAGAATAAGCGCTTGCCTGGCAAGCGCAAGGGCCTGAGTTCAATACCCGGTCCTGCAAAAAAAAAAAAAAAATCTAAGCCAATGAGCTCGGGCCAGTTAAAAGGCAGCCACTGAGCTACATTAGCACGCCCAGAAATCATATTCTAGGCTAGGGGTGGCATTCACACTGCAGTGCCACCGAGGACCTTGAAGTCCTCCTCCCTGGGATAGCAGGACGTTCATGTCACGCCTCACCCTATCTACTGCTTTCCTTCGGTGCAGTCAGAACACAAAGTATATGTACAGCACCGGGGAACAGCCAAGTCCCATGAGATGTAACCGTGACACCCTCTAGCTAAACCTAGAATTTGAATTAAACTGGCAAGGACTTTTCAGTTGATATCTATCAGAAAACTGTTTTTGCTTTGTTTGTTTGCTTTGCTGTTGTTGTTTGGATTGGACTTATTTTTAACAATTAAAACTCTTTCCTAAGACACAAACTGGGTCATCCAGTAATAGTATCTTAGTAATAAAAATCTAGATTTTTAACTTCATACAATTTGAATACTCTTCGATCAAAAGATATAATGACTCCTCTCCTCTCTCTCTCTCTCTCTCTCTCTCTCTCTCTCTCTCTCTCTCTCTTCCTCTCGTTTTTTTCTGAGACAGTGTCTGGCTATGGAGTCCAGGCTAGCCTTGAACTCACTGTGACCCTCCTGCCTCAGCCTCCTAAGTGCTGGAATTGCAGGCTTGCACCATACTCTCTTCCCTAAATCAACAGTTATCAATGGGGTAAGGAAGAAAACCTATGTCACCTGCAGCAGAGAGCCATTTTACATTATATCTTCTCCCTCCCCCACCAGATGTCAACCAGGGTAGAAAGACAACCACAAAGTCAAAACCATCTCATTCAGATCCTGCTGTTACTGCTCCATAGAAAGTAATAAACTGTGCCCAAAGCTCCTTTCACCACCAGTCAACCTCTTAGACTAAATTTGGTGTTTGGCATTGAAGATGCATTTCCAAAGCATAAAGACATACAGCACTTTATTTTTGTACTGCTTTGATACATTTCATTCATTTGAAAACACTGGAGTTGGGGGTGTGGCTCACAGATACAATCCTGCCCTGGCAGGTGTGCAATGCTCTGGCTCTCAGACAAGTAAGCAGCACGGTGCAAGAGAACACAGGTCCATGTCCCAAGACTCCGAGCACAGAAGTCCAAAGGCCATGCTGTGGAAGGCCCTGCATGGCCAACCTGGTCTTGCAGTTCATCGAGTCTCCAAAGTCTGGGGGCGGAGGTGGCCGAGGCAGGGTGGTTTACCAATGCTTCGAGAGGATGGGAGACTTGGAGGGAAAGAAGCCAGCCGAGCTCCTCGTACTACCACTGAGAGGCCAGAAGCTGGACTGCGGGATTCCCTCCCACCCCTGGCAGCTTCCTGACAGCTGAACAGAGAAAGCAAAGGCTGCCCCACTGCACCGGACTCCCAGCCAACGGGGGAGTGCTAAAGTAGCAGTGGCTCCAGGGCCAGGAAGCCAAGCTCCTAAATGGCACTGGAAAGCAACCAAGAAGATTCACCACGGGAAACAAGCAGCCTTTCTCCTTCCTCCCTGGGATGCCCTTTCTATCATCCTGGACTCTGTTATCCACAGGCTTCGGCATGTCTTTTTGAAGCCTCGGGTCCTGGGGCCAGGCCCGGGAGTGCACGCCTGTAACCCTAGGACTTGAGAGGCTTAAGCAGGAGTTCAAGGCCGGGCTGAGCTACATAGCAAGATGCTATCTTCAAATAATAACCAAAAAAAAAGAAAAAAGAAAGAAAGAAAGAAGAAGAGGGAGAAAAAACAAGAAACCTCAAGTGCTGAGATCAAACACAGACCAGCAAAACCTCTCCCTTACTTTGGGAAATGGGTGAGGATTAGAGTTCGTTTTTCAAGAGGCAGTTTGTCTTTTTCTTGTCTTGCTTGTTCCAGGAGCTGTCGCCTCATCACAGTGAAGACTGAGCGAAGCAACGTTCTCCCAAACACCTGGGTTGTCTCATACCGAGGCAGACTGTCACAGAACTGGGGCACATTGCAGTAACACAGCCACCTGCAGCAAGAGGAGATAAGCAATGTCAGTGTCCCATAAGGCCCGGCTCATCTGACCAACCATGGGGACTCAATACCACTAGCCACAGAAGACCGAGGGCCCGCCATGGCAGGCAACATTATCCCGTCAACTAGTGAGGCCTAGGAATTAGACGAGCTGGCCCTTAATAGTGCCGCTTGCTGGTGTGAGCACCAGCCAGTTCCCCCATGTCCTGCGACAGGCCCTGGAACCAAGCCCCCACTTGGCCACTTAGGTAGCAGCCTAACTTAGGAACTGTTACACTGCTCCTGTGTGTCCTTCTTTATCTAGAACATGAGGACAATTACAGCCACAGCACTTCACTGGGTACTTCTGAGTATTATATGAACTTGTGTGTAAGGCACACGCTGTACTTCATGGTTCTGGCAAATCAATGGTACTGAGGAAGCCCCTTGGGGAAGAGAATCCTGCCAGCCAGTTCTCAGAGAAGTTTAAGGTCTTTAAAACTGCCTACCACGAATTACACACACACCATTGAAGCTGTGGTGCGAAGATAAAGACCTTGAAGGGTGCCCAAAATTCAGCTGAAATGCAGAAAATAATAAGCTTCCACCATGGTACACACTCTGCAACAAGTAGACCCAGGATCACACACGCGTCTCAGCATTGCGTGAGGCTGGAGGAGGGACCACAGCAGAGGGAAATCTGACCAGGGTTCGAGGGTACACTGGCAACACAGTTCATCCAATTTAGAAAGCTCCTTCAGACAAGAGAAGCTACTGAATGAAGGAGACGTCTCAGAAAGTCCCACAACCCAGTATTAACATGTATACGGGAGTCGTGCACAGTGGCACCAAACCATGGAAATCGGGTCAAAAACTGTCACTGCACACACCCAAGGCAGCAGGTCCCAGCACAGGGCTGCTCTCCACAGCTGCACGGCGCTCCCCCGTCACACTTTCCTATTTAAAGTGGGGCTGCTCTCTAACCTACTAGAGCTGCTACAGCGGCCCTCAGTGAACCTGAAGCTCCTTAGTGAAGACTAAAGTAGTACTGACTTCCTCGCTCCCAGGGCCTCACTGTTTATCTCATCCTGCACATTACATCATGCTGCCCCTGTGTGAGGAGACGGTAACTGCAGGGGAGTTTCACCTTCGGAGAAGAAAACTCTTGTTAGGGTAGTTTACCTGCTTAGACTCAAAACTCATCTTAAACCCCTGCTACTAAAAAAAAAAAAAAAAAAAAACCCTGCTACTATTTCTATTCTCTCAATTTTTCTCTCTTTATACTTCATACCAAAATGTCATTTTGTGATTGGTAACGCTGAAGCGGGTATCTCCAGGGCCATACGGTGTCCCGTTAAGTCTGAAACAACGATCTCAGCAGAAAAGCAAGACAGAGCACTCACCTTGGGTTCGCAAAGAAACTCATCACCATCAAAGCCAGCCCTTAATGGATATTAATCTGGGATCACTTAATAAAGTTAATAGGGTATTAAGCAGTGAAGGCACACCCAGCTCACAAGGAAGTCATTATGAAAGTATGTTAGAGGCAAATAGCTATAAACCTTATAACTAGAAGTTCAACTTCATGAGATCTTCTTATCCTAAGACTATTTAAGGCTTCATATGAAAAACATCACACAATCTGCATAATATTCTGTGACTTAAACCAGTGATGACACTAAATAAAGCCCTCCACAATGATGGAAATAATCCATATGCATGCGGGTTAATACCGGAGTCACTTGCAACATGAGCCTCCTGCACACTTGGAATGCAGCTGGTATAGCTGAAGAGTTAGGTATTATTTTTATTTGATAAACTTCAATTCTACTTTTTTTTTTTTTTGCAGAACCAGGGTTCAAACTCAGGCCCTTGCGCTTGCCAGAGAAGCGCTTATTCCACTGAGCCATCTCCCCAGCCCCTTCAATTTTACTTTTAAATGGTATTTTTCCCATTAAACACAAATTTACATGTAGTTTTAATTTCTTATTTTTTTATTTTTTTATTTTATTGAGAAACATATCAATGAGAGTTTCAAAGCTGATTAATAGGACAATTTCAATAATTAATACATTGTATATTATTATCTTCTTAGTGGTTAGCCACAGTACAAGATGCAGACAGGAATCCTGTCCAAACAGTGTTAGTACAAATCTTTCTTCTCATTGAATTAAGCGAAAGTAGCTGTATATCTATCCTAACTATTCTGTATATACAAATACAAAATGGTCCTTCCTTTGTATCTCCTTTTTTTGTTTAGTCCTGTCAGAGATGGGTATTCCACTGGCATCTAAATACTATAGGTACATGAATTCAGCAAAACAATCCAGCACAGTCCAGCAGTCCACAATAGTTGTGGGTTATCCACAGAAGTTGTTGGCTTGAGCCTTTCACAGCTCAGCATATTAATATGGCTTTACTTTATATACCTCATTTTGTTTTGTGGGGTTTTTTTTTGTTTGTTTGTTTGTTTGTTTGTTTGTTTTTTTGGTGGAACCAGGGATTGAACTCAGGCCTTTGCGCTTGCCAGGGAAGCACTTATTCCACCGAGCCATCTCCCCAGCCCCTCTACCTCGTTTTTATACTTTTCTGCTGGATGGTTAAGACCAAGATAAAGCAAGACCTGTATAACAAGAAATGTAATTTTTGTATCTGATAAGGTCAGTCAAGTCCCCTCAGGATTTATCCTGAGACCCTGTACCTCAGATTGTAGATCCTTTGTCAGTGTCAGCCATGTAGATGAGTCACGGCTATTGCTTGACCAATTTGCTCTCTGTGAAAGCCTGAGAGAATGTTTTCTCTCCATGTGACTCTCCTTAGGCAAACTATACATCATCGATCACATTCCTCTGTGGCTCCATAATCATCTTGATCAGAAAATTTTGGGCACAACTGAGTTACATGGTGTTACAGTACAGGTTCTCCTATCTGTTGAGTCTTCACTGACCTTGAAAGGCTAGGGTCAAAATGTTGGCTGTCCTTGCAGCCCTTCCTTTTCTCCAATTTTTGATCTGCAAACTTAGGTTGTTAACCCTCCAGAAGAGAAGCTTATTATTACCCTACAGAATATGCAGTTTGGTTTATCCTTACTATCTGTCTAAATATCAAACAACTTAGGCATAACATGGAACAGTTATTTTTCATCAAGTATTGATATGTTAAACTTTAAGTCCCCACAGAATACGAAAAAAAAAAATAATTTAAAAAAATAGGAATAAACATTTACATATTTTTACACAGAAATTTAGAAATCTAACCATATACAGCATTGTAGCAGGACAGTCTTGTGACATCCAAGAGCCTATTAATACAGGGAGAAAAACTGATCTCGGGTGGGTAACCTCCAAACAGTACAGGGAACCTCCAAATGACATAGGGGAAAAATGATCTCCTGACCTGACCTGGATGAGTTTGTGTTCTCTAAAACCAAAGAATGAATTTTAGGAACAAACGGAAGTTATAAACAGAATATATTTATTGAGGGAAAGAAAGCTCCTGTCCAAGAGAGGGACAGGAGGGGGGCCCAAGCAGGTTGTTCCTCCTAACTTCTTAAAATTTAGAGACTAGGTATAAAATAGAGGGGCCGGGGAGATGGCTCAGTGGAATAAGCATTTCCCTGACAAGCACAAGGGCCTGAGTTCAATCCCCAGCTCTGCAAAAAAAAATAATAATAAAAATAAAATAGATACCAGTGGCTAGACATAAAGCTAAGTGGTAGAGCACTTGCATACCATACCTGAGGCCCTGTGTCTTGGTCACTTTTCTCTCTTTGCTGGGACAAAATACCTAACACCTTGAATTAAGGAAAGAAAGTTTTATTTAGCCCACTATTTAGTTTGTGGAGGCCCATACTCGGCTGTCTCCAAAGCAGAGTAGCATAGTGCAGGGGCAACACTTTAAGGAGGCAGAAGACAGCAAAAGCAAAGAGAGCAGAGGGAGGAGAAAAGGGCTCTTTTCTTTCCTTATATTGAAGGCAGGCTCCCCACCCTCAGATGAATGTGGTGCTCACACCATCTCCCTGCCCTCCTCTGATACAGGCTCTGGATGTTTAAAAAGTGAGGACTCTGGCCCCCTGCTGAGTCACTCAGTTAAACTTTTAGACTTTTCAAGTTGACACAGTGTATCCCCCATGACAAACAAAACTACACACACACCCAAATTTTGAGGATTTAGTGCGCACACACACATGCGTACACACACACACACACACACACACACACACACACACTTGAAACAGAACCAGACCAGGCTAGGCTTGGTAGACCACAGCTGTAACCGAAGCTATTCATAAAGCTGGAAGAGCCAGGGAGATGGCTCGGTGGAATAAGCGCTTCCCTGGCAAGCGCAAGGGCCTGAGTTCAATCACTGGTTCTGCATAAAGCTAGGAGATAAGAATCTTAAATTGAAGATCTGGCTGGGTGAACTGAGGGAAACCTTAACTCAAAATAAGAAAAACCAGACTAGCGAGATAGCTCAGCGGACTAAAGCACCTGCTTAGGTAAGCTTTAGTAAGCACAGGGACCACAGTTCAATCCCCAGCACCACATGCCACACCAGCCCTGTCCCCAGGCGCACCGAGCTAGCGACCAAGTCCAGGCATAGTGACACACATCTGCAATCCCAGCGTGGGGAGGCTGAAAGCAGGAGTCCGAGCTGCATAGTG